TCTCTCTCTCTCTCTCTCTCTCTCTCTCTCTCTCTCTCTCTCTCTTTCCATCTCACGACCCTTTCGCGGCCGCACGTAGGCACTTTGCGCGAGAAGAGAGGCGATAGTCGTCATGGTGTAAATCGCGTTTATCCAAGCCTTCTCTCTTCCCCCCTCGCGACTCCACGACGATTCTTCGCGCGCAGGGCGCGCGTTAGCCGCGACTCTCTCTCCCCCTCGCTCCGCTCCCGCGCGTCCGCACGCTCGGGCGATCCTTCGCGAGCGTCGCCCTCCCCCTTGTCGCGAGGGCATCCTTTCCTTCCTCTTAACGCGATCTAAGTGCGATCTAAGGGCGCGGATTTTCAGAATTGTGACAATTAGACTCCTCCGATGATCCTCCGTAAAAGAAAAATAAACGTTATTCGTTTTTATTTCCACGGCCGCTCGTGTCGAGAGACAGAGAGAGAGAGAGAGAGAGAGAGAAAGAAAGAAATAGGATGTTGGTAATTCACTCCAGGACGTTACGTTACGTAATGTCAATGGAAATTAGAATTATCGATTAATAAGTTCACAAATCTACATAGCCACCGTCCGACGGGACTACTATACGATTCACTTTACGCAGGCGACGCATAGAGTAACGTAATTTCGGTTTACATTGCTCGTTTACAAGCATCCTCTCCAATTTGGCCCAGTTTGATCCTATTCGCATCGTCTTCCCGTTTTCCATATCTTCGTCGATATCTCCGATATCGGCGCGCTCGTTATATAATATCTCTCTTTTACGTCTGTTTGCTTCTGTTTCTTTCAAGTTCGATAATTTATGAAAATTGTCGAATCGCTGTAGGGGAGGAGGGGGGAGGAGAACTAGTAATTATAAAAAAATATATTAAACTCAGTGTCATTTGTATTTTCATAACAGATACTGCTTTCTCTCGCGAGTTGAGAAATATTTCATCGTTTCTTTATATTTCTTTTTAATTCGAAATATTTCATCTTTATTTCACGCCGTATGTAGCGTAATTTTAAGTACAAGTTTCAAAGAATGATTAATTACTCCAGTTGTCTTAAAGATTACGAGAACAGCTGCTTAAAAATAGATTCTAATGCTAATGGGGAATTATGATGAATTTTCCAGTTATATACAGAGCGAAGCGATCTTTTTTTCCCGAAGGAAATATAAGAGTGTTGATAAAGTCGCGAAAAATGAAATAACATGCACGCACATTCGCAAAAAATAATTTATACAATTGCAACAGATTATAAAATTAATTAAGAAAAATATCTTGGAAAATATAAAAAAAAAAAAAAGAACCATAGAAATGCAACTCACTCGGTCGAGCTTTTCAACGTTTAATTTCAAATTATTAATCTTAAATCAAGTAACGTCGCGAACGGCAGGCAAGGCGATAATAGACATTTCCATTATTCGGAGGAGGAGGGGGAGGAGGGGGGGGGGGAAATAACGACATTGCCCAAGATTTCTCTCAACCCGTTATTAATGCCACATAACTACCCGCATACCATAGCTTTCCATCCCAGTTCCGCGTTACTCGTCCTCCGGGGATGGTCGAGCGCGACAGAAGGTAAGAGCGCGGACGACAAGAAGAAGGGAAAGAGATATTCTGAAAAAGCCAGAGCGAAAGGGAGGGAGGGAGAGCCAAAGAGAGACAAAGCGACAGGCCGAGCGTAATCGCGTTACGTGGTGACTGGATTACACCGCGTCACGTTTGCGAACTGCATCCCGCGAACACACACGTGCAACCCTCTCCGGTGTAAGTATAGCCACCCCGACGGGATGTCGTTCGGGTGTCCAGTCTTCAGTTTTGCCGTAGGGAGGGAAAGGATAAGAAAAAAACCGTCGGAAGGACGGTTTCGTTATCCTCGGGTTTTTTTTTCCCTCCCGCCGTTTATCCCAAGGCGGCGGCTTTCCTTCGCTTAAAACTTCGCAAAACGCGACTCGCGCGTCATTTCTGCGTTAAGCGAATTCCCGCCGTTTCACGCGGCCGCGGACGCGGCGAACTTACGCGAAAGGGAAGGGGATGACGTGTGTCGTAAAAGAGAGGAAAAAAATACGGGGGATACGGGAGAGAAACGTAAACGCGTTATTCGTTTAGGTGAAAAATAGATTTCATTCTCGCGAATTTACAGAGAGCGCCGCTTCTATCGCGTTAAACTTTCACGACCGGGCCCTTTGACGAATTTCGAGGTCGTTTTTTTTTTCTCACCGATTCGCCGAGCGGACGAATTTTAGGGCCTTGACTAGAAACCGCGGTCGACCGCCAGTCGCGATCGACGGCCTGCTCTTATCCGCGGAAAGTCGGAAGAAATATTTTCAAAACGAAATTATACGCCCCAGTTGAAAGTAATCTCCGATAGGTTTGTCGTAGAGCTTTTTTTTTAACCGGACGATTTGATTAAAAATCGAGTTTTGTCACTCTCATCTATGCTTTTCCTGCTAACATTTTTTCACGCATCTCGCTCCCAAAGGACAAGGATGAATGATTCGAATTAATGATTCTCTCACTCTCTCTCTCTCTCTCTCTTCTCTTCTCTCTCTCTCTCTCTCTCTCTCTCTCTCTCTCTCTCGTCTGTTTTTTTTCTACAACCCAATTTAGTATCCTCATTGCTTCACCCTGCGAAGGGGCACTTCTTTCCCCCACCCTCCGGTTCTGTTTGCGAGGACGACGGTGTTCCTCGCTCGCGGTTAGACGAGCTGCTGCGCGTCTCAAATTCCGGCGACGTTGGCGAGCGGACGGGCGGTGCGGAGGTTCGTTTAATAAAATAACCTTGTTACCAGCCCCCGTGCCGGGGGATGGCGGTAGCCAGAGGATGACGACAGAGGGGAGAGGGGGGGAAGAAGGGAGGAGACGAGAACTGAGGAGAGGGCGCGAGAGAGGATTCGAGACGGAGGAGCAACGCTAGCGAAACCGACGGTGTGACGGGCACTGACGTGGCGCGGGGCTGACGCGGGACGATGCTGCGCGTCGTCGACGAGAAACGAGGTACGGGGAAGAGACACGGCGGGGGTACTAATACATAAAGTAGCTTAAAGTAGAAAATTGTGGAAGCGTCGTGATGCCTGGTGATTGCGTTACCTTCGAGGCTTTGATTTAAAATGCAGCGAAGGAGGAAGTGAGGGGGGGTGGGAAGGGGGAGGGGGAACCGGCACACCGGAGGAGGGAGGAAAGAAGCGACGAGGAGGAAGGGAAGTGTCCGGGAGGGTGTGAGGGGGGGGGATGAGGAGGGGGTGTCGGAGAAAACGGGCCGCGCGCGCGGGATTGCCGCGAGAGCGAGGGTGTGGACGGACGGATCTCCTGCCTGGGAGCCATGTTCTTCCTGCGAGAAACGGAAGGAGGCCGGAGGGGAGGGTGGTGGTGGCGAGGACGAGGGAGGAAGAAAACGAAGAAGAGTAGAAGGTGGTGGCGGCGGCGTCGGCGGCAGCGGCAGCGGCGGTGGCGGCGACGATGATAGTGGTGGTACCCACCGACGGCTTCCACACATCCATGAGAAGGGTGCTCGCGGAGCCGAGGGGGACGGAGTGGAAACGGGAACAGGGTGAAATTCT